CATTACCTAGAGGTATCAGAGCATCTCAAGCATCACACAGTCTATTTAAACCTCAGTTTCACAGGTACTGGTTATGCAAAAATGGGCAAGTTACTCCACCCCGTAGTATTTGGAAACAATAGCATCTCCCTCATGTGAATTTTGTGATTATTAGATGAATTGATCTATGTAAATCATCATTACTTAGAGCATTGCCTAATCCACAATAAGTACGATTCTATGTGTATTACCTTAAAGAAAGGGCTCTCACAGACACACAGATTCTTTAACTATACTGACAGTCTTTTAGCCAAGGTGTATATTTCCCAGAACATGTATTCTAAAACAACTTCAGCAGGACATTTTGTCTTGAGGAAAACACGAGGTATTTTTCCTTAGGTGGCAGTAAGAGTGGCCCAGCGGGTGGTGACAGTGAGTGATAGTAAGGGGAGTGCTTGCATGGTTTGGCTTCTTATGCCACATCATTGCAGACCAGAGAAATCGGGGCATGGTCTCTACAATGAGCACCATTTGGGCTCAAGTCCTGGTTTTGTCACTGTGATTTGGACTAATGAGAGACCTCATTCAGTCTTCACTTCTTCATCTATGAAGTGAAGGTGTGAGGATTAGGTGAATTAGCACATGCAAAGTCTCAGCATACAGGGCTGTTCTGATTAGTGATCTGTTCTGATTAGTACTATGTTGAGTGACCTTTAATACTGGAGACTCATCTGTAAATGGAGTGTGTTGAACTAAATGGTAACTGAGTGGTTGATCCCGACTAGTTCTAAGAGAGAGGAAATGATCACCAGAAAATGCCAACTCAGTATTGTAACTAGAGAGATGGAGGAGGTCCAAACTAGTTATGTTGCTGTTAATCCTCACCAGAGGATATTTTTTCCATTGATTTTTAGAGAGAGTGGAAGGCAGGGGGAGAGACAGAGAGAGAAACATCAATGTGAGAGAGACACATCAATTGGTTGCCTCCCACACACGCCCCTACCGGGGCCACCCCAACCAGGGCCACCCCAACCAGGGCAGGGGAATGTACCTGCAACCAAGGTACATGCCCTCGACTGGAATCGAACCGGGACCCTTCAGTCCTTGGGGCGAAGCTCTATCCACGGAGCCAAACCAGTCAGGGCCCAAACTAGTTATGAAGGCCTCTCACGGGGACCCCATGTAAATAACAGACTCTGGTTTGCACAGAAGGGTAGAAGGTACCTCAGACCCCAAGTCTGACCTCCTTGTCAGAAAGAAATAGGTCCCAAGTTCACAACCTGCCTTTGATAATTCAGATGATATCCACCAGCTTCTGTGCCATCTTTCTGCTATTTTCAATCCATCTAATTATTTAGTAAATATTGATGGAGAATTGGCAGAGTTCTAGGTTATTTGAGAAAAAGGAATTTAATCTAAAACCAGTGGAAAAAGAATTGAAATCTAATGGTAATATGGGAGTAGTGGGGACCATCTGAAGACAGATGAGCTGTGTGTGAGAGAGGGGTGATTTCTCCCTAAGAGGCCCAGAGAAACCTGCATGGAGAAGGTGACCTTTATGTTTGGGGCACACGGGAATGGAGAGAATGGGAGCTCTAGCTTTAGGGGGCCACTTGAATATATAAAAGTTGCTTATAAGTGGTAAGTTTGGCTGGAAAGAAAGGATGTAAACATGAAGGCACAGAAAGACATATGAAAGAAAGTCATTGCTATAAAATGTTTATTTTTTAGTAAATCTAAGAAAGGGTAGTTAGGTGTTCATTGTATCATTCGTTAACTTTTTTTGAAGGTCTGATTTCATTTCTCCCTCGTTTTAACTTTAGCGTAAGAAATACTTTTGTCAACTTCAGTTTGAGGAGCTCTGTCTCCAGGAAATAAGCCTGAGAAAATCCCTCTTCAGTGTGTAATTAAAGGGGTCCCAGGAAACAAAAACTGCCTTTTCTTCTATTCCAAATAAAACTAATTTTTATGCCTGTCTTTTCACAATCTCCTCTTTTTATTATTATTACTATTATTATTTTAATCCTCACCAGGGATATTTTTTCCATTGATATTTTAGAGAGAGTGGAAGGGAGAGGGAGAGACAGAAACACATTGATTGGTTACCTCCTGCCGGCTTAGGTCCACGATATCCTCTTTATTAATATCTCTTAGCTGTGCTGTCTGTCACTGAAGGTTCGCCCTGGAATGCAGCATCTTGTGTACTTATTACATTATGTTTATGCAAAATAAATGTATGAATATTAATGATTCTATCTGGATTTCAATTTTTTTCACTTTTCTTTCCTCACTCTTATGCATAGACACCAGACCCCACAGGCACACACACTCATGTAGAGTAATGCTTCTTACCTAAAATCTCCAATCTTCTTTCAAGAACATCTTAATTAATGTTCACAGGAACCTTGGGACTCATTCAGCATCAGAAAAGTCTGTTAAGTAGTGAATTCAGAGGCTTCTCTTCTATCCTTACGTGGAAAAAGACAAACTCAAGAGTAGTACTTTCTTGACTCCTCCATGCTGATTCACGGTGCTTCGTCATATTTACCAATTCCCTAACCCCAGGACTAGTGTGAGAATTATCAGAGGGAATAGAGTTGGATATGGCTGTGGAAAAGTTCTCCTGATGGTGAGCTTGTTTCAGTGGGAGTAATTAAGATGTTACGCAGGCACATATGCTTGGGAACACACATTTTTTTTCTAGCAGCAACAAACTCTACTCAGGCTCCCCTGAACTTTTCAATTGGACCTCAACTTTTGGACCTCCATGTTTGCCTCTGCATTGTCCAATTTTAGTAAAAATTCTGCTAAGTTGGTTCAGCCAGAACCCTCACCTTCCATATCTAACCAGATTCCTCATCCTCCACCATCCCCAAGAGATATCTGATCACCCTGGCCTATCTTCAATAGAAATCCTGTTAGGTCAGTTCAGTCAGAATCATCCCTAATGTTTCCTTTTAGTAATATTCTTCTTGGGAAACGAAGGTCTATTCTTAGGGATTCTGAACAAGTTCCTTAGGCAGTTCCACCCATGTGGGTGAAGGAGCCCTGGGACCTGAGGGGGGTGTGTAGGCCAGAGTGAAGAAGCTCCCTCTCAACGGCTGATGCACAAAGTGGGCGATGGAGTTCTCATGGGGTGCACATGTAGCCAGGAAATCCACCCTGGATCCATCAGAAAATCCCACTTGCTCAACCTTCACAGTGTTTAAAAATCCTCACCACCTCCACCATTACTACCTAAGTCATGTCTTCATTACTTCTTTCATGGAACTATTTCGGTAGCCTCTTAATTGGTCTTTTTGTTTTTGTCTATACCTCTCTTCAGTATATTTATAACAGCAGACCCTGAATTTCTGTGAAAACATGCACCATTAATTCTGCTCTTTGAAGCCCTCTAAATACACACCCCATCTTACTTAATGTGAAAGTCAAAATCCTTACAATGATTGAAAAGGTCCTAATGACCTTGTCCGGTGGCCCCATTATCTCTTTGCAACAACTACCTCTCTTCTCCTTGCTTCTTCTCTTCTAGTTATAAAGCCTCTCTGACTGTCTCTTGGACACTTTGAGTACATCCCCAGCTCAAGGCTTCTGCATGTCTGATTTGTGGACTGAGATTTATACCAGGACATGACTTTTTTTTTTTTTTTAGTTTCAAAAATTTAGATCTAGGATCTAACTCCAGAAATAGGGGGGGGGGATTCTCAGCAGCTGTAAATAGCATAATAAGTAAATAATTAAAATCCAAGTTGATATATAGAGTAACGTTTTCTGCTTCATTTCAACATTTTTGAATGTATAGGCACAGTCTGAAGCATCTTCAGAGGTTTCTGTCATTTTTAGAGAGTCATCAGACATTAAAAACAACTCAATCATTTTTTGACCATATTCTCCAATGATTTGAAGAGCAGAAATGAGTAAGAGGTAATATTTATTAATTGAGGTTTTTTGTGGTTGTTTGCTTTGCTCTATTTCTTTCTTTGGGGCGGGGTTGGGGGGTGGGAGAAGGAGTTAAAGAAGTTTCATTTTTGCTTCAAAGAGCTTTCCTAGAGTGGTGATTCATTTCCATTCTACATGATTATAATGAACACAGTTCTCCTGGCTTTCAAAATAGTGTGAAGTCAAGGTCATGTGTGTAACATGTGTTTTCATGAATCCAGTTATTTATTTATATATGGGGGGTCCCTTGTGTTCATATTCTTATATGAAAGGTATTAGCACTATGGTTTCAATAACAAAAATTTTAAAATATTAAATACATCTTGTGTTTGATTTGGGTCTGGGATAATTTCTAAAGAATCATTTAGCAATACTCGTCTGATACTAAATAACCTGTAAAGCTGCAATTAATTGAGGGATTACTGGTTCTAAGAACTAGGCACCTGACAAGAGGATGAGGGGAAAATTATAAGTCTGGATGCCAAGTTCTGAGCAAATAATCTCCTTTTCACTTTTTCATTATCTCTAAGTAAAGTAGAGGGAGTGGATAATACGAATTATATAAATAATGTTAAATAAAAAGTGCATACATAACTGGGACAATATATTTTTTTGGTTTTGTCAAATTTGCCACTTACCCTAGTTCCGTGGTCGGCAAACTGCGGCTCGTGAGCCACATACGGCTCTTTGGCCCCTTGAGTGTGGCTCTTCCTAAGCTTTAGGAGTACCCTAATTAAGTTAAAAACAATGTACCTACCTATATAGTTTAAGTTTAAAAAATTTGGCTCTCAAAAGAAATTTCAATTGTTGTACTGTTGATATTTGGCTCTGTTGACTAATGAGTTTGCCGACCACTGCCCTAGTTCAATAAGATGCTTGTAAGGCAGCAATTTGATTTCTCTACTTTCTTTTATAACATAAAATCCATCTTTCTACATTATTATTTTATGCTAATCAGACTCTTTGAAAGTCATGTGTACCTTAGTAGAAATATAAAAATTAACTAGAAAATTTTTTAGTGAATATAGTTTATTTGATGGACAAATATTTTTAAAGGTGGTAAGAAGGAGTGAGCTACTGGTCTATACCCTGTCAGAAAGCACAAGTCTCCTCTTCAGTCTCCTTATGGCTGACTTCATCTTCTGGGTCCTCAAAGTATAAATCAAGGGGTTCAGCAGAGGGGAGATGACAGTGAAGGTGACAGCAATGGTCTTATCTGTGGGGAGGGCAGTGAAGGGCCGGGTGTAGACATAGATGCAGGGCACAAAATGCAGAATCACCACAGTGATGTGGGCTGTGCAGGTGTGGAAGGCTTTCCTCCTGCCCTCTCCTGCCTGAGACCTCAGCATCATTAGGATGACTGTGTAGGATACCAGGAGGAAGAAGAACCACAGGGTAGTGACTAAGCCATTGTTAGAAATCATCAGAAGCTCAAGTGCAAAGGTGTCTGTGCAGGCAAGGTTGAGGACCTGGGGCACATCACAGTAGAAAGTGTCAAGCACATTGGGTCCACAGAAGGGGAGCGGGAGCAACAGGGAAATCTGGACGATGGAGTGGACAAAGCCCCCAGCCCAGGAGGCTGCAATGAGGGCAGTGCAACGCCCCCTCCTCATGATGGTCACATAGTGCAGGGGCTTGGAGATGGCCACATACCGATCTAATGCCATCACTGACAAAGAAAATACATCCACCCCTCCAACAAGGTGGAAGAAAAACATCTGGGTCAAACAGCCATTGAAGGCGATGGTCTTCCTCATTAACAGAAGGTCCACCAGAACCTTGGGAGCTGTGATGGAGGAGAAGCAGATATCGGCGATAGACAAATTACAGAGCAAAAAGTACATGTGGGTCTGAAGGAGAGACTCACAGGTCACGGTGACCATGATGAGGAGGTTTCCCAGCAGAGTTGTCACATACACCTAAAGTAGGAAAAGAAATTAGACCCAACTCAGTTCTTGATTCTGGATGGGGCCAAGGAAAATCAATTCTTTTACCCTTGTGCCACTTTTCAGCTTCATGGAGTCATCTTCTTTTTCTCTCTTTTGTTTCAAGCTACTTCATATGAAAAAGTACTTGTCTACTTATTTGGTTTTCTTCCTAAGCACTAAGAATGCAATTCAGAAAGCTGCCTACACGGCTGTGCCTTTTATAATTTTTTGAGTTGCCCAAATTTTCAAGATTGCAATCAGCTTGGTGATTAAGTAAAATGATCACATGCAAAGTCATTCAATAATTCTTTTTCTATAAAACTGCTTTTGGCGAGGATAAGCTTTTATTTTAAGTAATGATATTTCCATAGCCTATTTTAATTAACTCATTTTAGTTTTAAAATTTTATTATTATTTTCATTCCACACATATTTATTGAATGCCAGGAACTGTCTGAAGCATTAAATATAAAGATAAATAAGATGTGGTTCCAGCTATTGTAAACTTATAGTCTATAAGTTTAATACTTATATTAGTGAATATTCTATTGACTTCAACAGTGTCTTGTCTTGCTAAAAAAAAAAAAAGGATATCATTCTGTTTCCTGTTGCAGTATTGCTGTGGCATGAATCAGTTTCCTTGCTCTTGGTTGTTTAATGCTGAATTTCTTAAAATTGCAGCCTCTTATTCTGTGTAACTGGTCATTGTGATTATACTGATTAGATTATTTGCTGAATTTAAAAATGTTTATAATTTACTATTGGGAAACAGATAGAAACATTGTGTAAATCCAAATCTCAAAGTATATCATTAATTTTTTATATTATGGTTGAAACACTTAAACGTGAAAGCTACCCTCATAATAGATTTTAAGTGCATGATACCATATTGTTAACTATAGCCAGTGTTGTACAGCAGACCTATAAAACTTTACTGCTCTTATACAACTGATGTGATCCTTGCTTGAATGTGGGGGAGGAATAGAAATAGTGATCTACTTCTGAGAGGTGGTTCATACTATGTCAATCATGCTCTCCTCTTCCTCTTTCCCTTTGTGGGTCAAAGACAAGAGAGTGAAGGGATCACACAACAGGGAAAGACACTGGTATCACTAGAATAATGCCTTTAAAAATATATACACTGAGTGGCCAGATTATTATGACCACCCCATCAGTACTTCATTGACACTTCCAAAAATACTGAATATTGAAAACTTCCTAAGCAAATACACTCAAGGTTTTATTATTATTATTATTATTATTATTATTTGCATAACTAATTCACTTCATTGTACTGATGGGGTGGTCAAAATAATCTGGCCACTCAGTGTATATATTGATTTTAGAGAGGAAGGGAGGGGGAGAGAGATAGAAACATCAATGATGAGAATCACTGATTGGCTGCCCCCTGCACACACCCTACTGGAGATCAAGCCCAAACCCAGGCTTATGTCCTGACTGGGAATCAAAACATGGTCTCCTGGTTCATGGATTGATGCCCAACCATTGAGCCACACCAGCCGGGCATCAAGAGAATATTTATAGCAACTTCCAAATGTATGTGGATAAATTGGACCCCATTATCAAAGTGCTTACAGTTGATCAAAAGTGGATGGTTTGTGTAAATTGATGAACATAATGCATGGCAAAATGTGAAATGTGTCACAAGAGAAGTAGAGGTAGATTTAGGTGGAATAGAAGTTGATAGGAAATATCCCGATTTCCAGCAGTAACAAAAGCTACTATTTTTTTTTGTCTATTTACACAGACAACAATGTGGTGATGGCCAGAAGGAAGGGGAAGTAGGGGCTGGGTGCAGGTGGGCAGAGGAGCGAGGTGGGGGTTGGGGGGGACATCTGTAATAGTGTCAACAATAAAAATAAAGTTAAAGAAAAAGAAGTATAAAAAGTTGTTTAATTTTTACTATCACTAATTGGTGAAATATATTGAAAATTCTGTACTCAAAGTATAAAATAAAGAAGTTATTTTAATAGTCAACTGGAAATAACTTTCACCAGAAAAAGTATGTGTGAAATAAGTACCTCCATATTCTGTCCATGTGCTATTTAGGGATAGCAGGATAGATAATAGGTAATATTGATTGTATGCCCGATTAATGCCAGAAGTGGTGCTCACCATCACAACTATCATCCTCTCAACATTTATCATGTTTTATTTTCATGACAACCTTGTTAGTAGACATAGTATTTCTATATTACAAGTGTTGAAAGTGAGGTAAAATATGTTGGCTTAAGAGTCACAGACTAGTCCTAGCTGGTTTGGCTTAGTGGATAGAGTGTTGGCCTGTTGACTGAAGGGTCCTGGGTTTGATTCTGGTTAAGGGCACATTCCTGGGTTTCAGGCTCAACTCCCAGTAGGGGCCGTGCAGGAGGCAGCCGATCAATGATTCTCACTCATCAGTGATGTTTCTTTCTCTCTCTTTCTCTCCCTTCCTTTCTGAAATCAATAAAAATATATTTTTTAAAAAAAGAGTCACAGATTACAGAAAAAATAGCATTTCGTTTGTTGATTTTAATCTTATACCCCATACTTTTCCCAGTCCACAAGTCTATAGTTATGTTGTTCAATCTCATCTCTTCCTTTTGTTCTTATATTCCTTCTAATAGAGTTGAAGGGCTATGAGAATGTTTAGAAATGACTGGAGAAAGAGCTAGTTGTCTCTCTTACCCTAAGGCTAGCAGCTTGAGAAAACCAAATCAGAATTAGATTTCCAGTCTCAGTCTGACTGCTCACCCCAGTTTACTACTCTAAGAAGGTCCAAGTCTCCTCTTCAGTCTCTTCATGGATGACTTCATTTCCTGGTTTCTCAGGGTGTAGATCATGGGGTTCAGCATGGGAGTGATGACCGTGTTATTGATGGACACGGCTGTGTCCATGGGCAGCGTAGTGAAGGGTCGGCAGTAGATGTAAACACAAGGCACAAAGTGAAGAGTCACCACCACGATGTGGGAGGTGCAGGTGGAGAGGGCCTTTTTCCGGCCCTCCCCAGAGTGAGATCGGAGCATCACCAGAATGACAGTATAGGACCCCAGGAGCAGGAGGAACCACAACAGGGTCACCAGCCCATTGTTAGAGATCATGAGAAGCTCCAGAGCAAAGGTGTCAGTGCAGGCCAGTTTAACCACCTGGGGCACATCACAGTAGAAGGCATCCAGGGTGTTGGGGCCACAGAAGGGGAGTGGAAGCATCAGAATTATCTGGACAATTGAGTGCAAACCACCACCCACCCAGGAAGCCACCACTAAGGCCACCCACACCTCTCTTCTCATAATGGTCACATAATGCAAGGGTTTGGCGATTGCAAGGTACCTGTCATAGGCCATCACAGAGAGGAAAAAAATATCTGCCCCACCAGTAAAGTGGAAGAAAAAGATCTGTGCCATGCAGCCATTGTAAGAGATGGTTTTCCTCTCTGACAAAAGATCTACCAGCAACTTGGGAACGGTGACTGATGAAAACACAATGTCTAGGACTGATTTGTTCCTTAGGAGAAGGTACATGGGAGTGTGCAGGTGGGAGTCACAGGTGATGGTCACCACAATGAGGGCATTGCCCAGCACAGTTGTCACATACACAGCAAGGAAGAACACAAACAAGAAAAACTCCAGTTCCCGGAAGCGAGTGAATTCTAGGAAGACAAATTCCCTCACAGTGGTGTGGTTACTCTGGCCCATGATAGGGATCACCTTCTTCCAGGTCTACGTTGGGAGAAGACATGTTAGGATTAGGAGTATGGTATCATGAGGCGGCAACATCACTTATCATATATTGTTATGAGGCTCTTTTAAGCATCCAAATAATCGTTACTACTCAGAAAATGGTCTGGAAAGTCTTTATCCTGATGGTTCTTCTTTCCTACTGTAAGTACCCCGTGTTTACAGGAAGAACCATCACACTTCTATGTCCTTACTCTAACCAGAGGGAGATGAGAGGACAGTGGTCACTTGACTCTGGCTTATCTTATGTCCTGCAAGAGTAACTTCCTCACATGTATGCAAAGCTTTCTATTTTACTGCAACATTTCATCTTTATTTTGATTCTTATAATGTCTGTGGCATCTATAAAGTGGTTATGGGGAAATGGAGCTTACAGCCTAATATTTTACATGAGAGGCTGGAGATTTTAATCAGCCAAAGCCTTTTAGTTCTGATTGACATACATATCAATAATCGCACATGGATATTTTACCTTTCAGAGGTTGAAGACTGAACACTATACATCAGTGATAGCGAACCTATGACACGCGTGTCAGAGGTGACACGCGAACTCATTTTTTGGGTTGATTTTTCTTTGTTAAATGGCATTTAAATATATACAACAAATATCAAAAATATAAGTCTTTGTTTTACTATGGTTGCAAATATCAAAAAATTTCTATATGTGATACGGCACCAGAGTTAAGTTAGGGTTTTTCAAAATGCTGACACGCCGAGCTCAAAAGGTTCGCCATCACTGCTATAGATATTAGAAAATTATATATGTGCTAAGCTAAAGTTGCCTGCAATTGTGTCTTCAGGATTCCTTCACTTACCTTTAGGTTAGAAAGTGAGCCTGCAGTGTTTCCCCATCTTCATGGCTCTGTTCGTCTTCACCCAAACACGTGCACTGTCCGCTGCTCACTTAGACACTGAACTGGAAGTCTAAGAATATAATAAGCAGCATGGGGAATAGTGTCAGATATTTGTAGGAAAAATAATTTCCAAAGAGGAATAATGCAGTTGCTGATGCCATGGGAGTTATTAAAAGTTGCTAAGCAACATGTGTGAATATTGGGATTTCCCCATCTATCATTCTGCTATTGCTTTCTATTCCACTGTGGTCTGAGAGCATACTTTGTGTAATTTGTGAAAGTGTGTTTTTTGGCCCAGAATGTGGTCCATCTTAGTGAATGTTCCATGTGAGCTTGAGAAGAATGTGTATTTTTCTGTTTTTGGAGAAAAGTAATTTATAAATATCAATTAGGTCCAGTTGATCATTGCTGCTGTTCAACGCAATGCATCCTTCCTGATTTTCTGCCTGTTGGATCTGCCGATTACTGATTGAGGGGATCAAAGTCTCCAACTATAATAG